CATAATAGGATGCCTGTAAAGCTAGGTAAAAAGTAGGTCCAGCTTAAGATTTGAATTCCTGAAAAGGCTTTTAAAACAAGCAGAGTTATTTGTGATATCGTTAGCAACAAAAATACGTATAGTAACTGTTGAGTATGGTTAAATAACACTAAGCGTTTTTGATAGACTACAGCACAATATGCCGTCACTGTATAAGCCAGTGCATACTGTCCAAAAATGCCACCAGTGGCTAAGTCAACCAATAACCCAGCGAACCAAGCGGTACTAATATTACATAGGTTAGGCGCACGAATTAGCCAATAGATAATGGCGAGTAGCATAAAATCAGGACGCACTTTTAACGCAAAAGCCGACCATGGAAATAGCACAAAAATATATGCGATTAGCAATGAGAAATAAACAACCTTAATATTAATCTGAGGCATTGGAGGGCCGTGGTGTAATAAGTTGGTTAACGAGGCGATTATTTTTTTCAGTATTGTTCTGGGTGCTAACTGAGGAATTAAACATGGCGTTAGGCAGGTGATGGCTTTCATTATTGAAAATAGGTGTTGCTGTCTCTGGTGGCAAGCTGACGAGCAGGACATGACGATGATTTTCAGTGCTACCCGCAGGGCTACAAATGATGCGTGCAAAGGGTGAGTTTGGCGAGGTGTCCACCTGCATCACAACAGCCACTGTCAAGCCAGCGGGATAAACACCATCTATACCAGAGGTGACTAATTTATCGCCGCGTTGCACATCAACATTAGTAGGTAAATATGGCAGTTCTAGCGTATTATCGCGACTACGCCCAAATGCAATCGCGCGTAGCCCGTTTCGCTCATTTTGAACAGGTATGGCCAGCGACTTATCTGTAATTAAAGTAACCTCACTGCTGAGCGGAAATACACGTGTTACTTGACCTATCACTCCATTGATATCAACTACAGCCTGTCCTGTTACGACTTGGTGCTGTTTGCCACGATTGACAATAATTTTTTTTGTAAAAATATCACGCCCCACATGAGTAATTTCAGCCAAGACTGTACGCTCAGTTAATGTTTGGTTGGCTTGTAATAGTTGGCGCAAGTGCTTGTTTTCAAGTGCTAATGTGTTAAGTTTTTGAATAGCAACGCCTTGCTCTAAGGTCTTTTGTTTAAGCTGAGTATTTTCAGTGAGCAAACGGTGATGAGTGGACAGGTATTCATTTGCATTACGATAAAGTGTGGCTGGTGTATTAGCAATAACTTGTAAGGGATGCAATATAGTGATAAAAAATTCTCTCACGCTATGTAAGTAATGAAACTTCGCATCGCTAGCCATGAGCACTATGGACAACGTGGTAAAAAAAATGAGTCGTGCAAACGCGCTGGGGCCACGTGCAAATAATGACGGGGCAGGTTGCTGCTCTAATTTTTGGTGAAATCCTAAGGCCATGATTTAATTATTTAACTGTCCAAACTGCCATAATGAATTAGGCCGCAATAACGGCCTAATTTTTCAGAGGATGGTAGCTTAAAAATAATATATTGGATAGATGTTACTCGTAGGCAAATATACTACCTAACCTATCCATTTCTTCCAATGCACGGCCGCAACCTCGTACCACGCAGGTGAGTGGATCCTCAGCCACATAAACAGGCAGACCAGTTTCTTCTACTAGTAATCGATCTAAATCACGCAAAAGTGCCCCACCACCTGTGAGTACCATGCCTTTTTCAGCAATGTCTGCGCCTAACTCAGGTGGAGTTTGTTCAAGTGCGGACTTAACCGCACCGACTATCGTGTTCAGTGGCTCGGTAAGCGCTTCTAAAACCTCATTACTTGAAATGGTAAACTTGCGTGGGAGGCCTTCAGCCAAATTGCGCCCAGTCACTTCCATTTCTAACACTTCTGAGCCTGGAAAAGCCGAGCCAATCTTCTTTTTGATGGCTTCAGCAGTGGGCTCTGATATTTGCATACCGTAGTTACGGCGAATATAGTCAATAATCGCCTGGTCAAACTTGTCGCCTCCTACACGCTCAGATTTAGCATAGACAATACCACCAAGTGAAATCACTCCTACCTCTGTGGTGCCACCACCAATGTCCACTACCATGGAGCCCGTCGCTTCAGAAACAGGCATGCCTGCGCCAATTGCCGCTGCCATAGGCTCTTCAATTAAATACACTTGTTTAGCGCCAGCATTAATAGCTGAATCTTTAATCGCACGGCGTTCTACTTGTGTTGAGCCGACTGGTACACAAATGATAATGCGCGGGCTAGGTGAGAACCAGCGTGCATCATGTACGCGGCGAATAAAATATTTGCATTTGCTCTATTAAACTCATAATGCCCGTGAGTTTAATCAGCGTAGTTTGTGCTTCAATTTCGCTCACATCAATACGCGCTAAATGCGCGA